CTGGGGGCCGGATAGATGGCCGAGGTTTGAAACTTAGCATTGCCACTTATTAAACCTGTGATCCATGGCCAGGCTCCTAATATCTCTGGTCCAGTTTCCCAGCCTATATGATGGGAAGAGTTCATGGTATCTCCCTAGGGGAGTTGTTGGAGAACAGAGTCATGTTCAAATTTGGCCTAGAGGCATTCAGTGAATGGAGTTTCCTTTTTTTCATCTTGCCAAAATCACCCAAAGGACAGACAGAGCCAGCCTAGGCATCTTACCCTTGCTGGAGCTGGGGTGAGCAGGGGCCCTGAGCTCTGGGGTCCAGCCTCTCTGCCTTCTGCCTTCCCCTCTCCTTAGGTCCTGGGGAGTCAGAGAAGGTGCAGCAGCTGGAGGAACAGGTGCAGAGCCTGACCAAGGAGCTGCAAGGTCTGCGGGGCGTCCTGCAAGGACTGAGCGGGCGCCTGGCCGAGGATGTGCAGAGGGCTGTGGAGACAGCCTTCAACAGGAGGCAGCAGCCAGCTGACGCGGCTGCCCGCCCTGGGGTGCATGAAACCCTCAACGAGATCCAGCACCAGCTGCAGCTCCTGGACACCCGCGTCTCCACCCACGACCAGGAGCTGGGTCACCTCAACAACCATCATGGCGGCAGCAGCAGCAGTGGGGGCAGCAGGGCCCCAGCCCCAGCCTCAGCCCCTCCGGGCCCCAGTGAGGAGCTGCTGCGGCAGCTGGAGCAGCGGTTGCAGGAGTCCTGCTCTGTGTGCCTGGCCGGGCTGGATGACTTCCGCCGGCAGCAGCAGGAGGACAGGGAGCGGCTGCGAGCGCTGGAGAAGCTGCTGGCCTCCGTGGAGGAGCAGCAACGGCACCTCCCCGGGCTGGCCGTGGGACGCAGGCCCCCTCAGGAATGCTGCTCTCCAGAGCTGGGCCAGCGACTGGCAGAGCTGGAGCGCAGGCTGGATGTGGTGGCCGGCTCAGTGACAGTGCTGAGTGGGCGGCGAGGCACAGAGCTGGGAGGAGCTGCGGGGCAGGGGGGCCACCCCCCAGGCTACACCAGCTTGGCCTCCCGCCTGTCTCGCCTGGAGGACCGCTTCAACTCCACCCTGGGCCCCTCGGAGGAGCAGGAGGAGAGCTGGCCTGGGGCTCCTGGGGGGCTGAGCCACTGGCTGCCTGCTGCCCGGGGCCGACTAGAGCAGCTGGGGGCGCTGCTGGCCAATGTGAGCGGGGAGCTGGGGGGGCGGCTGGATCTGTTGGAGGAGCAGGTGGCAGGGGCCATGCAGGCATGCGGGCAGCTCTGCTCTGGGGCCCCTGGGGAGCAGGACTCTCAGGTCAGCGAGATCCTCAGTGCCTTGGAACGCAGGGTGCTGGACAGTGAGGGACAGCTGCGGCTGGTGGGCTCAGGCCTGCACAGGGTGGAAGCAGCGGGGGAGGCCCGGCAGGCCATGCTGGAGGGACTACAAGGGGTTGTGGGCCGGCTCCAGGATCGTGTAGATGCCCAGGACGAGACAGCTGCAGAGTTCACCTTACGGCTGAATCTCACTGCGGCCCGGCTAGGCCAACTGGAGGGGCTGCTGCAGGCCCATGGGGATGAGGGATGTGGGGCCTGTGGTGGAGTTCAAGAGGAACTAGGCCGCCTTCGGGATGGTGTGGAGCGCTGCTCCTGCCCCCTGTTGCCTCCTCGGGGTCCTGGGGCTGGTCCAGGTGTTGGGGGACCAAGCCGTGGGCCCCTGGACGGCTTCAGCGTGTTTGGGGGCAGCTCAGGCTCAGCCCTGCAGGCCCTGCAAGGAGAGCTTTCTGAGGTTATTCTCACCTTCAGCTCCCTCAATGACTCACTGAATGAGCTCCAGACCACTGTGGAGGGCCAGGGCGCTGATCTGGCTGACCTGGGGGCCACCAAGGACCGCATTATTTCTGAGATTAATAGGCTGCAGCAGGAGGCCACAGAGCATGCTACGGAGAGTGAGGAGCGCTTCCGAGGCCTGGAGGAGGGACAGGCACAGGCCGGCCAGTGCCCCAGCCTAGAGGGGCGATTGGGCCGTCTTGAGGGTGTCTGTGAACGGTTGGACACTGTGGCTGGGGGACTGCAGGGCCTGCGCGAGGGCCTTTCCAGACACATGGCTGGGCTCTGGGCCGGGCTACGGGAAACCAACACCACCAGCCAGACGCAGGCAGCCCTGTTGGAGAAGCTGGTGGGGGGACAGGCGGGTCTGGGCAGGCGGCTCGGTGCCCTTAACAGCTCCCTGCAGCTCCTGGAGGACCGTCTGCACCAGCTTAGCCTGAAGGACCTCACTGGTGAGGGGACAAAAAGCATGAGGGGACCCCTTTCAAGCCCCTTACTTTTCTTCCCCCTCCCCCAGCCCAGCTTCCAACTCATCTGCTTTCTCCTTGCTTTTCCCAGCATGAATTGCAGCCCCAACCACTATTCCAGGTGTTAGAGTTTGCCTGCAAGGGAGGATGCAAGGTCCTAGCTCCCTGCCCTCCCTCTGGCTGCTCACTAGGCCTGTGGGTGGAGAGAGGATGTTGCTGTGCCAGCCAGGGATCCAGCATATGCAGCAAGGGACCCTATCGCCCCCTCAGTCTGCAAAGCTCCACCTGTTACATCTATCTTCTCCCTGTTCATGAAGCCACTACCCACCTTCCTTACCCGTTGGAAACTCCTTTTATGGCCCTCTTTCAACTCAATTTTGTCACTGTAGGGCCTGCAGGAGAGGCTGGGCCCCCAGGGCCTCCTGGGCTGCAGGGGCCCCCAGGCCCTGCTGGACCTCCAGGATCGCCAGGCAAGGACGGGCAAGAGGGGCCCATCGGGCCACCAGGTATGTGCACTGAGACCCTTGCTGCAGTGAGGGTTGCCACTGCCCACCCTCCAACCCTGACCCCCCTCTGGCAGCCCCAGGCTTGACATTCCACTCTGAACTTGACAAGGGGAACTGGGTCCTACCTGACTGATAGGGAAAATCAGAGGAAAGTGAGGAGGAACTGTGATAGTCACTGTGTTTGGTTAATGGGTAATAGGAGGCTAATGGATAATGTTGGCCCCACTGCAGTACTGGAGACTAAAGCTGAGTCTATTATGGCTGACTGGGGTGTGAAAAGCTGGGATGGCCCAGCAGTTGAACAGAATGGACCCTACCTATTCCTATTTTTCTTGATACCCCAATTCCTTCTTTGAAGTCCACGTAGCACCCAGCACAACAGGAGAGCCTCAGCAGATGTTTGCTGAGTGACAGTGAGAGCTGCTTTACTTCTCACTGCTCCCTTTCCTCTTCTCACAGGTCCTCAAGGTGAACAGGGTGAGTGCCTTTCATTTGATTCTTGGGGGGAGAAGCGACTAGGGGTTGGAGGATGGAGGTCCTCAGGCAGCCCTGGGCTGGGGATCCAGCAGGGGAAGGGGGCTGGCACTCTGCCCTGAGCATCCCCTTTAACACCCACCCTTCCTGCTCAGGAGTGGAGGGGGCACCAGCAGCCCCTGTGCCCCGAGTGGCATTTTCAGCCGCCCTGAGTTTGCCCCGGTCTGAACCAGGCACGGTCCCCTTCGACAGAGTCCTGCTCAATGATGGAGGCTACTATGATCCAGAGACAGGTAGGTCTGGGAGGGGCTGGGTTGAACAGTTGGAGAAATGGGTAAGGTGTGCAGTGTTATCTTCCCATTCTTGCCTCTTCCGACAGTGTGAATCTTTTCATTCTCTGAGTTGGGGAGACCTCGGCTCTTTCTTCATTTATTCATTCTCAGCCAGTGGGGAGAAGTAGTAGTCATTCATTCATTCATTCAGTAGATCTCTACTGGGGCCTGCTCCTGCCCAGGCACTGTTTTAAGGGCTGGGGATGCATAGTGAACAAAGCCCCAAGTTCCCTGCTGCTTGCATTCCAGTGAGGGGAAAAGACCCAGCGGGTCCCTCCCGAGTCCAGGAGTTCTGGTGCGCTCCCTGGAGCTTCCCTGGCCCCCCTGACTGCTATCCTTGTCCCCAGGCGTGTTCACAGCGCCACTGGCCGGACGCTACTTGCTGAGCGCGGTGCTGACTGGGCACCGGCACGAGAAAGTGGAGGCCGTGCTGTCCCGCTCCAACCAGGGCGTGGCCCGCGTAGACTCCGGCGGCTACGAGCCCGAGGGCCTGGAGAATAAGCCGGTGGCCGAGAGCCAGCCCAGCCCGGGCACCCTGGGCGTCTTCAGCCTCATCCTGCCGCTGCAGGCCGGGGACACGGTCTGCGTCGACTTGGTCATGGGGCAGCTGGCGCACTCGGAGGAGCCACTCACCATCTTCAGCGGGGCCCTGCTCTATGGGGACCCAGAGCTTGAACACGCGTAGACTGGGGTCCCGCCCGACGTGTGTACGCCGGCTGAAGAGACAGCGGGGGCGGCAGGCTCCCGGGGTCCCGCCTGGGACGCAGCACCCAGCCCTGGGCAAGCGCCGCACCCGGGCCCGCAGCGGCACCGCGCCCAGAGGTGCCTCTCCCCAGGCCCGGGGCGCGCCGGCTCAGGGAGGCCCAGGGCCGCTCATGGAGACTTTTGGCCTGGCGCGATCCCCCCGGAACCCCTCCAGGGCCGGCCTGCGGAAGAGCCGATCCTTGCACCCTCCGCTCCCTCCACTGGCCCTCCAGGCAGAGTCCCTGGGGCTCCAGGCTCCCCCGCGCGGGCGCCGCCCACCGCCGTACTAAACGATCCAGGAATAAAGACACTTGGTTTTTCTAAAAAAACTAAACGAACCGTTCTGCTCCGGTACCGGGTCGGGGGCTGCCCGGCGTGCACAGGGCACGGGGCGGGAGAGACCGTGGCCTCCGGAGGGAGCCCGGGGTACCGCACTGCGCTTGCCGCCTCCGCCCGGCTCGAGGCTGCTGGCGGTTGGCTCAGGCAGCAAGCGGCGCCTGCCCGGCTCCTGCGACATCTCCCTAGTGTCCCGCCCGTTTCGCCGGCGTCCGCCAGGGGGCGCTCGGCGTTCCCGCCACTTGAGGCTGCCGCCCACCCGGCGGGTCCTGCTGCTCCGCGGCGGAGGTGTGGCCTCGGCTGGGACTAACACGGGCGGGGCGGGGCGGGCAGCAGCGACCACGGTCTTCAGGCAGGGCTGCAGATGCAGGCCCAACTCTACCTCGTGGGTCCAGCGTTGGGAGTCCGAGACGCAAGTGCAGCAGAGGGCGGGGCACGTAGCGCATTTCCAGCGCATTTTCTCTTTGCATTCTCGAGATCGCTTAGCCGCGCTTTAGAAAGGTTTCCATCAGCTCCGAGTCCATCTGACAAGCGAGGAAACTGAGGCTGAGAAGTGGGAGGCGTTGCCATCTGCAGGCCCAGGCAACTTGCTACGGGAAGACCGGGGGCCAAGACCTCCGGGTTGGCTTTCCCAGGCCAGCTTGGGTCTTCGGGTGTCGGGAGCAAGGGCCCTGCTCCTTTCGTTTCCTGCACCCCTCGCCGCTGCAGGTGGCTCCCTGGAGGAGGAGCTCCCACGCGGAGGAGGAGCCAGGGCAGCTGGGAGCGAGGACACCATCCTCCTGGATAACAGGCAGAGGCCGGGAGGAACCCGTCAGTCGGGCGGGCAGGAAGCTCTGGGATCAGCCTCATGGAAGAGAAGCAGATCCTGTGCGTGGGGCTAGTGGTGCTGGACGTCATCAGCCTGGTGGACAAGTACCCTAAGGAGGACTCAGAGATAAGGTAGGGGCGCCCAGGTCCCCAGGGGACCCCAGCGGCTGCTGCAGTCCGGCATTTGTGCCAGTGACCGAGGCAGCAGAGACCCCGCAGTGAGGCCCTGAGAGCCCAGCTTCAAGGCCGGGCCGGCGCCCTCTACCCGGGAATCCTGGGGGGCTCCCAGCATGAGAGAAGAGAGGAAGGAATGAGGTCTTTAATAAGACGACCCAGGATTTAATAGCATTGTGTTAGCCAATTTCCATTTCAACTCAGGGACGGTGTCAGGCATCAGGATCCCCATTTTACTGATAAGCAAGTATAGATTCAGAGACGAAGGGGCTTATCCAGGGGCACACAGCTACCAAGGTGCAGGACCCGTTTCCTGCTTCTGCAGCTTCTTTTTAAACCACATCAACATTTACTTCTAACTTATTTATCACACATATCTTGCACCTATTCCTGAGAAAGATTTGAGGTAGCTTACAGTAAAAAGTATGTACAGTTACACTGTTGCAGAACATTTAAGACCGTGGTATTTGAGCTTTGACTATAGCTCAGGGCTTGCTGGTACTGGAGGCAAACATGAGATGTCATGGTTTATGTATGGATAGAACTGATTCATGAGCCCCGGCAAGCTTTTTCCTGGTGCTAAATTCCAAGAGGAGTTTGCCAGAAGTCCTCTTCACAAAGGTCAGTGAACACTGTTTAGTAGTGGAAACATCCTTTTCAGTTGTCTGCTAGAAACTGAAGTCACTGGTTGGTTCTTTTTTTTTCTTTTTTTTTGAGACAGGGTTTCATTCTGTTGTCCAGGCTGGAGTGCAGTGGCGGCGCAACCATACCCACTGCAGCCTTGACCTCCCAGACTCAAGTGATCCTCCCACCTCAGCCTCCTGAGTAGCTGGGACCACACACGCACGTCACCATCACAGCTGTATTTTAAATTTTGTGTAGGGACAGGTTCTCACTATGTTGATCAGGGTGGTCTTGAGCTCCTGGGCTCAAGCAGTCCTCCTGCCTTGGCCTCTCAAAGTGCTGGGATTACAGGCGTGAGCCACTGCATCCAGCTGATTTGTTGGTTCTTTTTCTTTTTGAGATGGAGTCTCGCTCTATTGCCCAGGATGGAATGCAGTGGCACGATCTTGGCCACCTCTGCCTCCTGGATTCAAGCAATTCTCCTGCCTCAACCTCCTGGGTAGCTGGGATTACAGGCGTATGCCACCATGCCCGGCTTTTTTTTTTTTTTTTTTTTTTTTTTTTTGTAGAGACAGGGCTTTTCTTTGTAGAGACATGTTGGCCAGGCTGGTCTCAAACTCCTGACCTCAAGTTATCTGCCCGTCTCAGTCCCCCAAAGTGCTGAGATTACAGGCATGAGCCACCACACCCGGCTTATTGGTTTTGTATTTCCTCTTGCTAAGGGCCCCACCATTAGTTACACTGTAATGCTGTGAAGGCATTTCTGTGGGGCGGGACACTAGCTTTCTCTTGGTGCAGTCAGTGAGTGCTTAGAACCCTGAGAATTGCTCCTGGGCTATATTAGTTGTCCCAGCTAAGAACTGGATAAGAGGCAGTTCAAGACTGAACTCCAGAAAGACACGACAGCACTGATGACTAACTGAGAGGCTAACTGAGGTGAGAGACCCCAGCACTCCCCAGGCTTTGGGGCCACAAAGCACCATCACATATATTATTTTATACTCTCCTCCCAGCAGCCCATGGAAACTGTGTAAAGATCAGTGAAATTCTTTATATACATAAAGAAGCTGAAGATTTGGAGAAGTTTTCTAAGGCCACAGAGTTCAATGGTGGCACAGCGGCAGCTGCAGCTCCTAGCATGGAGTCCAGGGTCCCTGCCCTCTGTCATCTCCTGTATACCCTGTCCCTTTGCTGTTCTTGGAGTTGACCCTTTACTTTGGTTTGCCAGAGGTTAGGGTCCCTTGCCAGGGGTGCAGGGACAGTGGGGAAGGGGCACAGGCATGCCACTGTGTGGATCTAACCCGCTGTGCAAGGTCGAGGCAGTCCCAGGGCATGGCACTCAGTGAGGAGTTGGGTTCATCTCAGGGGAACAGTGCAAATTCCAGGGCCACGGGTTCTCCGAGGACCGTGGAGAGCCTGGGGAAAGACTCAGCACCTCTGTCAGAGCTGAAGTCCCGTTTCCTCTCAGCTTAATATTTCCGGAAGGTAGGGGAAGGAGGTCCTGCTAGCGCCCACACTGATGGGGCAGGTTCTGAAGGTGGACACTGAGAGAGGTCCCTCTCTAAAGAGCCCCTCCTCAATCTATCATGCTCCCTGCCCTCCAGGCCATGCCTCCCCCACAGCCCCATGGCCCTGGCTCCCTGCAGCCTGGCTCCTGGACTGTTGTGCCTCCCAGAGAAGCACATCTGAGTGGGGACCCAGACCTTCCTGGGTGTCTCAGCCTCGCCTGTCCCAGGGTCTCTGTGCTTCACAGGCAGTTGGGGACTCTTGGGAGCTGCCACCTGGAGCTCAGCCAGACCCCTGCGATGTGTCCCCTGCCTCCCAGAGTCCATACCAAGGAGAGACTTCCAGAAAGCATCCCCCTGCTCAGCTGAGCACTTTTTTTTCTTTTTTGAGACAGAGTTTCGCTCTTGTTGCCCAGGCTGGAGTGCAATGGTGTGATCTTGGTTCACTGCGACCTCTGCCTCCTGGGTTCAAGTGATTCTCCTGCCTCAGCATCCCAAGTAACTGGGATTACAGGCATGTGCCACCACACCCGGCTAATTCTGTACTTTTAGTAGAGACGGAGTTTCTCCATGTTGGTCAGGCTGGTCTCGAACTCTTGACATCAGGTGATCCACCTGCCTCAGCCTCCCAAAGTGCTGGGATTACAGGCATGAGCCACCGTGCCCAGCCTTCAGCTGAGCATTTCTGCACAGGAAATATCGGTGTGACTTTGAAGGGTTTCCCCAGAGTAAAATTCTTTTCTCTTTTTTCTTTCCTTCTTTTTTTTTTAAGACGGAGTCTCGCTCTGTCACCCAGGCTGGACTGCAGTGGCGTGATCTCTGCTCACTGCAAGCTCTGCCTCCCGGGTTCATGCCATTCTCCTGCCTCAGCCTCCTGAGTAGCTGGGACTACAGGTGCCCGCCACCACACCCAGCTAATTTTTTGTATTTTTAGTTTTTTGTATTTTTGTATTTAACAGGGTTTCACCGTGTTAGCCAGGATGCTCTTGATCTCCTGACCTCATGTTCCAACCACTTCGGCCTCCCAAAGTGCTGGGATTACAGGCGTGAGCCTCCGCGCCTGGCCGTCCCAGAGTAAAATTCTATACCCTTTCTTAGAAACCTCATCAAAGCTTGGGCCTAACTACTTTTAGTTTTAAAATACGGAGTAAATAGCAATGGCTTTGGGGTCAGGAAACTTGGGTTCCCACGTCAGCTTTGTCCTTCACTATTGATCAAGTCACAGATCCCTCAAGGTTCCTCCTTTCTTTTCGTGAAAATTTCTGTAAAGCTCAGCTTGAAAGTCTTTTCTTTTCTTTTCTTTCTTTTTTTTTTTTTTAGACAGAATCTTACTCTGTTGCCCAGGCTGGAGTGCAGTGGCATGATCTCGACTCACTACAACCTCCACCCTCTGGGTTCAAGCGATTCTCCTGCCTCAGCCTCCCGAGTAGCTGGGATTACAGGCACCTGCCACCGCATCTGGCTCATTTTTGTATTTTTAATAGAGACAGGGTTTCACCATCTTGGCCAGGCTGGCCTTGAACTCCTGACCTCGTGATCCTCCCGCCTCAGCTTCCCAAAGTGCTAGGATTACAGTTGTGAGCCACCGCGCCCAGCCAGCTTGAAAATCTTTGACCAGCTGGGTGCAGTGGCTCATACCTATAATCCCAGCACTTTGGGAGGCCAAGGCAGGAGGATCACTTGAGCCAAGTAGTTCAGGACCAGCCTGGGCAACATAAGGAGATTCCATCTCCACAAAAAAAATTTTTTTAATTAGTGGGGCATGGTGATGTACACCAATAATCCCAGCTACTCAGGAGGCTGAGGTGGGGGGATCAGTTGAGCAGGGGAGGTTGAGGCTGCAGTGAACCATGATCATGCCATTGTACTCCAGCCTGGGTGACAGAGTGACTCTGTCTCAAAAAAAAAAAAAAAAAAAAAAAAAAAAAAAAAATTACTATCCTTTGTCGTTGTTATTGTTGTTTTTGAGACAGGATCTTACTCTGCCACCCAGGCTGGAGTGCAGTATCATGGCTCACTACAGCCTAAACCTCCCAGGCTCATATGCTTCACCAACTTCAGCCTCCTGGGTATACACCACTATACCCAGTTAATTTTAAAAATTTTTTTTAGAGACAAAATCTCCCTTTGTTGCCCAGACTGGTCTTGAACTTCTGGGCTCAAGTGATCCTCCTGCTTTGGCCTCCCAAAGTGCTGGGATTATAGGCATGAGCCATCGCGCCTGGCCTACTATAATTTTTTTCTAATGACATCATGCTCCCCTTTTCCCAAAACTGAAGTTTTGTGTACAAATATGCTTTGGCCTAAAAATTCTGGTTCAGTTTTTTCTCTTAATTAGTGGTTCTTTGGTACCGTTCCTTTTATTGTAAACTGCCACAATTATTATTATTATTGAATCTGGCACAATAGAAATAACAACACCATTCTTACCTCAAAAGTAATAACATTCATCAATGACTTCTCATTTGGGCTCCAGTGACACTGTGAGGTGATCAGTGCTTTGACCCTGTATGTGAAAGTTATCATTTTTGCTGCTGATGACAATGTAGCCCTTCACGTGTGTCTTGTTAGTTTCCTTTTGATCGGTTCTTAGTAAAGATGGAGAAGTGCTCCCTGCTGCCACTTCTTAAATGACCAACGTCCAGGTTTGCTGTCCTGTCTTACTCATTTGATTTTATAGCTCTGCAGTTTGTATTGAAATAGACACTCCTATGACAGGGGTAGATGTAAATGTGATACCTTTGGGAAGAGGCACTTAGTCCTCAAGGTCCTTGGAGTTGCTCCAGTACTCAAGGAGGAGGCCAAAGGTGCAGCCTCCAGAGCAGCTCTGACTGGGGTAAAAGGTGAGGAGGAGATGACCTGGAGTTAGTGGGGCTCTCAAATAGTGATGGACCCAAGTGAGTGGTTTCCTGATGCCCTAGGAATAGATGGAAATATCGAAAGGAACTGCTGTGAGCTTGAATTTAGCCTCGGCTGGGGAGGTAGACACCACTCTCAGCCAAGCTCCTTCCCTTGGCCGACCTCGGCTGCCCCAGGTACAAAGTGAGATGGCGGCCTAGATGATTTCTAAGAAGAGTCCCCAGCTGTCACATTCTCTAGGCCCCTATACAGGGGACTGTGTTTGGGACCAGCCTGCTGGGGCTGCAGGGACCCTCCCTGTGCTTTGCAGGTGCTTGTCCCAGAGATGGCAACGCGGAGGCAACGCGTCCAACTCCTGCACCGTTCTCTCCCTGCTCGGAGCCCCCTGTGCCTTCATGGGCTCAATGGCCCCTGGCCATGTTGCTGAGTAAGTCCAGGAGGGAGAGTCCACTGGGGAAGGCCTGCCTGCATCGTGGGGGGAGAAGAAGGATGTGTCCACCCTGGGTGGGTGGGGGATTAGAAATGGGTTGTGTCCGGCAGAAATGCGGGGAGGGGGCACAGTGGAGCACCAGACTCCCAGCCCTGCCTTGGCGCGGCCTCTCTGTGGTTCGAGGGCTGATGCTGCCCCTGTGAAGTTTTCCTTGCCACAGCTCGTTTCCTGGACACTTCCTGGAGCCTGCTTCAGCCTCTTCCCTTCTCCTTCCTTGCTTCCTGCAGACTCTGCGGTGGATTTTCCTTTGCCTTATCTTAAGTCCCTTATCTTGGCCGTGCTTGAGGCAGAAGACAGTTAGGGACATGCAGTACCCATCCTCCCTCAGGAATGGCCACCATCCACGGCCCCCGGGTCCAGGCCCATAGTTTCTGTCCCAGTTGAGGGGCAGGGCTGGTGCTCGTGTCCCTGTTGTTCACTGAAGCAGTGAGAGTACCCTGTTCAAGGACACCCTGAAACCACGTGCTAAAGCTGGGCTCAGAATCCACACCTTCCAGCTCCCCAGCTGTCAGGGCTATAGCCCTAAGTGGCTCATGCATGCCCTCCATGTTGGCTGCTGCAGGGACCTCAGAACCCTTTGACCCCTGGTGCTGCCGACTCAGCAAGCACTTATCAGGAGGTGAGGCCCACACTTTGCACACTGTGGGCACTGGGGCAGGCTGCCAGGTTGCTGGCCTGTGAAGGGCAGCCCTTTGAACCCTGGTTTGAAGGGGGCTGCCAGCAGAGTCCACCCACCTGAGCTACAGCCAAACTCCCTGCCTTGATGAACTGGCAGGAAGAGAATAGAGGGAATCTGCCCTGTGAGATGGGACAGGACGGCTCAGAGCCAAGGGCTGGTGACTTATTAAACCTCTTTAATAGCTCCTTTCCTCTGAGCTGGAGGCAGGACTGTGGCTCTGGCTTAGGGTGGTCGACTCTCCTTTACACAGCAATCATGCCGATGGGTGGGCTCTTCAGAATTCTCCCCATGTCTTGACAAACATTTAGAGAGCACCCACCATGTCCCAGGCACTGGGGTGCAAACGTTATTTGGCAAACCAAACCATATTTCCAATGCTTTGGGAAAGCTACTATTTAAAGGAATTGTAAGTGAAGGGATGATGCCCTGACTTGGTATCTTCATGCAGATCTGTATTATCCAGCTTTGGTGTTGCTGAAAGCGGGCTCTGGCCAGGATGGTGGCTGCACTGCTGGGCATAATTGCCAGTTCTTGAGCATAGAACAGTGCATGTCCAGAGAGGGCTGGAAGGGCTGGGGCTGACCTCCTTGTCCTTGCCCCTGGGCTCACTCTGCGTGGAGGGCATTCTGAGAGAGAGTCCTGGACCAGGCCCACGCTGAATGGCATCAGGCACGGGGAGCCAGCTAATTGCCCAGGCGGGTTCACCTGACTGCAGGAGGACAGAGCAGTGAGCTGGCCCACCAAGGCAGCACCACTTCCAGGCTGGGCCTCCTGGAGGCAGGCAGAGAGTGAGAGGAATCACAGCATTAGGACTAGGAGGGACTCAGAGAGGACAGCACCATGGATGAGCTTGTGGAGGACAGCTGGGGGCAAAGTATTGCCTTGGAGATTAATTATTAATCTTGCTTGGGCATTGCAGGAAACAAGCCACGGTGCCCCCACCTGCTTGGTTCAAACAGGGCACAGGTTCTAGGGTCCTGTCTAGCTTTATGAACAGAAGCAAATCCTTTCCAGCTTGAGTTGGACTGAAAAACAGTCAGGATTGGAGCATGCTTCAGCCAAGACCTAAAAGGATGGCCCTTAGTGTTTCTCTCTCTGAACTCCAGGCTCTGCACTCCTGCATCTCTTGCCTTGTTGCACTACCTGTGGCAAGAATATGATTCCTAGTTCTCTCCCAGCCCCTTTGCTTGCACCCCTGCCTTTCAGGGTCCCTAGTGGCCCTGCCAGCTACCCTCCAGTCCCCAAAACCCTTGTCGAACCGCACCCGCTTCGGGTTACTCCGCCCTGGCAGTTTTGTCCTGGATGACCTCCGCCGCTATTCTGTGGACCTACGCTACATGGTCTTTCAGACCACGGGCTCCGTCCCCATCGCCACGGTCATCATCAACGAGGCCAGTGGTAGCCGCACCATCCTATACTACGACAGGTTTGTACAACTGTCTGTGCCTTGCCAGCTGCTGCCGCCGTCACCAAAACTCCCAGAACAGGACTCTTCTTCTCTTAGAGGCTCGTGTGTTCCAGCACCCTCTCTCCACTCCTGTTGGAGGTCAAGGCCACTTGCAGGCTCTAATCTGTGTCTCCTTGCCCTTTTCCTGGCCCGGCCTCCACCCTAAGCTTCCTGGTGGCCGACTTCAGGCGGCGGGGTGTGGACGTGTCTCAGGTGGCCTGGCAGAGCAAGGGGGACACCCCCAGCTCCTGCTGTATCATCAACAACTCCAATGGCAACCGTACCATTGTGCTCCATGACACGTAAGGCCCCCTGGCCTCGCCCCGCTACAACCCCCAATCAGCTGCCTCGCCCCGCTACAACCCCCCAATCAGCTGGCTCAATCAGTTCCCTTCCTCACCACCGTGGGCATCCCAGCTGCCCCCTCTGTGGCTTCTGTGTACCAGAAATTGCTCCCCTGCCAAAATGTCCAGTGATTTCCTAATTGCTTTCAATTAGGGGAAAAGTGAGGTGGGAAGGGATGGGCTTTGCTGTGCCTGGTGACTTGGCCTTGGTCAACACCACAGAAGGGCAGGCAGGCCTATATAAAATGTAATTTATGATGTGATTCCTCCATAATTATTAATTATGGTGTGGGGTATGGGTGCGGGGAAACTGTTCTCAGGACAGAAGGGTGGGAGATGGGAGTCAACCCTTCTTAAGAAGGGCTGGGGGGGCCCACTGGGATTGCCAGGGTCAGCCCCAGAGTTGCCAGCCTGCAGCATGGCACCAAGGAGCTGGGGTTTGGGTGTGTAAAAGAGATGAGCCCCCCAAAGGTTTCGGCATGATGAAGCCAGGCCACACACGCCACACACCATTCACAGCCATTGCTGAAGGAGGGGAAAGGGAACACTGGGTCAGCAGATTGGGGTCGTCTAACATGGTGCTGACCTGGGGGAAGGGGCTATCCTTCCCTTCTGGGTCCCAGGCCACTCAAGAGAGGCCCCATGGCCTAGACACTTATCCCTCGCAGACTCCCTCCTGCAGGATTTTAGAGGTTTAGTTTTCTGAGAACCTAGTATGTGCCAGGTACTGTTACAGCTGAGAGGGCCCAAGCCCAGCAGCCCTGAGGTTCAGGCTGTCCCTACTGCCCAGCCTGACTGCTGGACCTGGAGGAGAGGGCAGTCATCCCTGGGCTCCATATGTGCAGTGAGTGAGTAGGCAGGCATATGTGCTACAGGTGACCTTCACACTGGGCAATCCTAGTCAAATGCTTGTTAAGCAACAATCTGTAGTAACCCTGATCAAGGACGCAACATAGCTATTTACAGGAGAGGAGCTCTGAAGAGAAGTGTTTATTGCCCACTGGCCTCAGTCCAGGCACTTTCACACACGTTACCTGCAACTACAGCAGCCTGCAGGGAGGCTGGAGGTTTCGGTCCCATTTATCAGTGAGGAAGCAGCCTCCAAAAGGGCCGGGTAGATCACACAGCTATAGTTAAGAGGAAAGCCTCAGCTATAGAACGTGGAGCAGGGACATTGGCTGAGCTGAGGGCTCTGGCCCGGGAGCAGACCCCTATTGGGGATCTCCTTTCCTAAACCTGCCAAACACAAAGTCTTCCTCTAGTGCTAACTACTTTCACCTCAGGGTTGCAACAGGGAGCTACTAAACTCAGGACAGGGGTGCCATAGGTAAACCCCAATGCTGGAGCGCCAGAAGTGAGGGGGACCAGGAAGCCCAGGCACAGGGTCGTGGGCTTTATAGTTGCCCAGGGCTCTGCCTGTGGGAGCCACGTGCTGCTGCAAGGGATTCTGGGAAGTGTAGGCTTGGCACTCTTGGTGCATTCTGGGAGATGCAGTCTCCAAGGCACACAGACCTGGCCAGTTGACACGTATTGCTGTTCAGTTTACCCTGAGATAATTTAATCATAACCTCAAACTCAGGAAGGGGCACCCCAGCACACTGTAACAGTGACCACTCTGGAGCTGAGCCTGAGAATCCTGTGCTGTGGATCCAGCTTCCTGCCCTGCTGCTGGCAGTGAAGGCACAGGGTCCACAACTGCCAGTTAGAGATCCTGGCCCTGGCTGACCCCATCATGCTCCTTCTTCTCTGTCCTTTCCATCCTGTGACCTAGGAGCCTGCCAGATGTGTCTGCTACGGACTTTGAGAAGGTTGATCTGACCCAGTTCAAGTGGATCCACATTGAGGCAAGCCCTACCTTACCTGTGTTTTGAGGGGCTCAACCTGCCAGCCACCTCCACATGTTCTGCCTCCTTGGTTTCTTTGAACCATGAAGTACCTTAGAGATAAATGAATCTAACCCCCTCATTCCCTCTCCATCCTTCCTTATGTCTGCAGGTGAGGAAACTAAGGCCCAGAAAGATTAGGTGACTTACTCAAGGTCACACAGCAGAACATAGGCACAGCTGGCTCCAGGCAAAGTCCTGTGCTTTCTGTGCTACGGGCTGCCCCACCGCCTCCAACTCTGCCTCTGGCGGACGTCTGACTGCTTAGGGCCTGACCCATTACCTCTGGGGAAGCAGGAAGGACAGGGCCTAACTCAGCTCCCAAATAAAGAGAACTGGAGCCTTTACTCCAAGAGAGGTTTTGGAGTCTGGGTGGGAGGAAATCCTGAGAAGTCCTGAGTTCTAGCTCCATCATTTAACCTATGGTAGGTCTTTCAATGTCTCTTTTATTCTTTAGTCTTCTCATCTGTGGAATGGAGTAGCTAGTTGATAGATCTTCAAGGTCCACGACAGCTCTGAATTTTGTAATTTAGGATGGGGTTCTAACCCAGCCTCCCCAAGGCCCTCTCCCTCCGCACCCAGAGTTTCAGCAGGGCAGGAAGAATGAGCCAGATTGACCAGGCAGTGCCCAGCAGTTCTGAGCTGCCCTGTCCTGCCCCAGGGCCGGAACGCATCGGAGCAGGTGAAGATGCTGCAGCGGATAGACGCGCACAACACCAGGCAGCCTCCAGAGCAGAAGATCCGGGTGTCCGTGGAGGTGGAGAAGCCACGAGAGGAGCTCTTTCAGCTGTTTGGCTACGGAGACGTGGTGGGTGCCCCATTCAGCCTCTCTTTGCCACTTCTGGCTAATTTGGTTCTTAAAGGGAGCCAGAGTCCTTTAATCCTGCCTACCACAATTGGAATAGTGGTTCCTGGTTTGGTGGCGTTGGAAGATGGGGGATGGGGGTTAAAGCAAAGAGGTAGACCCCTAGCCTTGGACTCCAGTGCAGGCCTCAGCAGTGACCAAGGAGTAGAATGTCTCCACCCCAGGTGGGTGCATGGGTGTAAGAATACCCAGAGGGCTTGGGTAGGGCCTAGACAGCCACAGGGCAAGCCTGTGTGGAAGCAGCTCCTCTCTGGGGCTCCCCAGTCTTTTCCTCTGCAGGATGAGGACACACAACTGTTCTCTGAGGACTCCCCAGTCTTTTCCTCTGCAGAATGAGGACACACAACTGTGTCTGGCAGGTTGTGGGGGCTGCTAGGGGTGAGGGGAGGGTGGGAAGGAGACTTACATGAGTCTCTTTTTGAAAAGGCTGGATGTAAATGGAATTTGGAAGATAAGTCCAGCATCATAGCAGAAGTTGGTTGGAGACCATCCAGCCAAGGTCCTCAACCTTGGCTGCATATTAAAAAAGATGAATGCAGGCCAGGTGCAGTGGCTCACACTTGTAATCTCAGCGCTTTGGGAAGCTGAGGTAGGAGGACTGCTTGATGCCAGGAGTCCAAGACCAGCCTGGGCAACATAGTGAGACCCCTGTCTCTATGAAAATAAAGAAATGAGCCAGGAGCAGTAGCTCATACCTGTAATCCCAGCACCTTGGGAGGATCACTTCAGCCCAGGAGTTCAAGATTGCAAGACCCTGTCTCTATACAAAAAAAAGAAAAAAGAATTTTTTCTGGCAGGGTGGTATGTACCTATAGTCCCAGCTACTCAGGAGGCTGAGGCAGGAGGATTGCAGTGCCTGAGCCCTCACCATCTTGGTGTTGATTGGCATGGGTAGAGTTAAGGCTTCGGTGGTTTTTTTTGTTTTTACCAAAACGTCCTCTGGAGATTCTAGAGTGTAGGTAGGGTTGAGGGAGCCCCGTTGCTTTCTAGATGAAGAAACCATACCTACAGGACACAGTTGTGGGAAAACCCAGCAAAACTGCTCCGGGGAGCCAGCATGGCGGTGGTAGATTCCACCCCAAGGTGGCGCTCAAGGCTTTCTGTGGTTTTCAATCCACTAATCCGAGAACAAACGGACCAGGGCTTTTGTTTCACAATTTAGGTGTTCTATTATATATAAGCATCAATAAAAATGTGTTTCTGGCCGGGTGCAGTGACTCACACCTGTAATCCCAGAAATTTGGAAGGCTGAGGCAGGAAGATCGTTTGGGGCCAGGAGTTCGAGACCAGCCTCGACAACGCAGGGAGACCCTGTCTTTACAAAAAATAAAGAAAAAAGAAAACCACGTTCCCTTGGGACAGTGAGATGCTATGTTTGAATCTATGTGGATGTGTTAGGGGAGTCGTGTTGTAATGGGGGAACGCCAGGCTGCTGTTGGTGAATGAAGAGTTAGAAGTGACCACCAGCTTCTCTTCCACTGTCCACAGGTGTTTGTCAGCAAAGATGTGGCCAAGCACTTGGGGTTCCAGTCAGCAGGGGAAGCCCTGAGGGGCTTGTATGGTCGTGTGAGGAAAGGGTGAGCTGGGGAAGCCAGGAAGGGGCTCTAGGGGGTACAGGATGAGCTTGGACTCCAGGGGTCCTCCCTGGGGTTGGGGGCATGGCTGGGGGGATGGAGTGGGCTAACACCCAGCTGAGTGGAGCTGTCTTGCAGGGCTGTGCTTGTCTGTGCCTGGGCTGAGGAGGGCGCCGACGCCCTGGGCCCTGATGGCAAACTGATCCACTCGGATGCTTTCCCGCCACCCCGCGTGGTGGATACCCTGGGGGCTGGAGACACCTTCAATGCCTCCGTCATCTTCAGCCTCTCCCAGGGTGAGTATGGCAGCAGGAGGGGAAAAGGACTGGGACCTGTCCCTGCCCCAAACACCTGGCTGACCTAGTTACTTGTCCCTCCTCCAGGGAGGAGCGTGCAGGAAGCACTGAGGTTCGGATGCCAGGTGGCCGGCAAGAAGTGTGGCCAGCAGGGCTTTGATGGCATCGTGTCAGAGCCGGTGCGGTAGGAGGTGCCGGCTCCCCGCACACTATGGAGGCTGACATTGCGGCTGCATCGCCTTCTCCCCTCCATCCAGCCTGGCATCCAGGTTGCCCTGCCCAGGGGACAGATGCAGGCTGTGGGGAGGACTCTGCCTGTGTCCTGTGTTCCCCACACATCTCTCCCTACAGAGCCTCAGAGCGAATAAATCTTCCTCAGAGCCAGCTTCCCCTGGCAGCTTCTGTCCTCGATGTCTGAACTGCTCTGGCTGGGCATTCCTGAGGCTCTGACTCTTCAGTCCTCCCTCCTTGTGTCCATTCCCCAAATTAACCTCTTCACCTAGGCCCAGAGGAGAGGCTGCCTGGGCTATAGCAGCAAGAAGTGCCCCAGGCTTGCCGCCAGCTCTGCCCTGGCTGGGGAGGACACTCAGTGCCCCATACCCAGCGAACCTGCCAAAGAACCAGAAGCCATGAGAGCTCTTTGGGGCCCTGCGTTGTGCAGACTCTATTCCCATAGCTCAGAAGCTGGGAGTCCACACGGCTGAGCCAAACTGACAGGCCAGTGGGGGGCGAGGGGGTGGGGCGCCTCCTCTGCCCTGCCCACCAGCCTGTGATTTGGTGGCATCTTTGTTGTCCAAAAATATCTCCTCCCGCTGACTGCCCCAGAGCCTGAAAGTCTCACCCGTGGAGCCCACCTTGGAATTAAGGGGATGCCTCAGCCACAAATGTGACCCAAGATAGAGTGTTGTCCACAGGGAGGTCGGATCTGGAACACATATTGGAATTGGGGCCAACTCCAATATAGAGTGGATAAGGCCTTATAATGTAAAGGGCATATAATGTAAAGGGCTTTAGAGTCAGACAGACCTGGATTCAAATCTGCCATTTAATTAGCTGCATGTCACCTTAGGGTACAGCGCTTAACACAATCCGCCTCAATTTCTTCATCTGTCAAATGGAGCCAATTCTGCCTGGCTACAGAATTATTGCGAGGATAAAATCATGTAATATATATAATGCCCAGCATGATGCCTGATGTGTACGAGGCTCTCAGAAAGTTTTAGTGATGATTAACATTACTGGGGGTGGGGGCAGATACAGGGTGATAGGGCCACCTGCCCTGAGCTGCAGGAGAGCATGGGGTGTCTGAACACCAGCTAGGGGAACCAGAGAGTGTTTGGGGCTCAGGGATAGACTGAGCTTCCCTCACTGGGTCCTCTGCAGCTGGCCATGGCTGGCACCATGCGGTCTGCTGCCGGAGCACCGTGAGGCCCAGAAACACTGGGAGGGTGGCATCCCTGTCCTTTCGGTGTCCCCAACCCCCTGTTCCCCTAAGAGGGTCTGGGCAGGCTGGACGGGTAGAGAGGTGGCCCGGGGGGATGAATTCATTCAGTTCTTTATTGGCAATCTGCCCCTTAACTTAGGGTCTCCCTGAGTTGCACAGAAAGACCTGATACCTACTGGGACCAGACAGGGGGCACAGAGGTGGTCCTTGTCCCAGCGTACATTCCCCTGCCCGCTTCAGGGCTTATGTTCTGAAACTGAGACATCGTGGGGTACCTGTATCTTCGAGATCTAGATCTCATCATTCTCCAGTTGAACAATGTGCACCTCAAACTCATTTGGGATGTTCTTAGACTCCAGTGTTTCCCCTGGAAGTTCCTTGGCCTCCTCTCCATTCTCCCTGGCCTCTGCCTGGCCCCCAGCTTCCCCTCTGGGCCCCGGAACGTCTCCTTCAGCCTCTGCCTGGCCCCCAGCTTCCCCTCTGGGCCCTGGAACGTCTCCTTCAGCCTCTGCCTGGCCCCCAGGCTCTTGGACAGGATCCAAAGACTCCCTTCTGGCCTCTACCTGGCCCTTTGCTTCTTCTCTGGGACCTGGGGCTTCCTGTGTTTCTTGTCTTAATGGGCTTTTAGCTAACAGGGACTGCCTCCCAACAGCTTGTGGCTCCTGAGGAGATGGAGCAAGGGGCTCTCCGGGCTCCACGTGACTGGGGGCCTCTCCCGGGAAGTTGATGAGCTCAGCAGGGGTCATGAGCCCATCCCTATTCAGGTCCTGGGTCTCGAGCACTTTGTCCACTATCAAGATCACCTGTGGAAGCAGAGTCACTGTGGGGTCTCCAGTGACAGGGATGCTCCCCAGGGGTCCTGACCCTCCCCAACCCACTGTTGCATCCCTGCCATGTAAGCTCTGAGCCCTCCTTTTACAGAGGAGTCACCAAAAGAGTTATGATGAGAAAGACCAAAACCCCAAAGCACTGGGTCTCCTTTATGGGGGATCTCCATCCAGCAGAGCTTACCGGGTTGGTGGTAGGAGAGTTGGCAGCTCCAGGGGCCAGAGCAGCTGTCAACATGGACAACAGCTCCAGGCCATCTAGCTGTCCACTCTGGTCATAGTCATGGAGGGCAAAGAGGTAGAGGAGAACTAGAGAAGAGAAGCTGGATTAGAAGAGGTGCCTGGGGAGGTGGAGAAGGCAGGAGTCAATGGGGCAGCCGAGGTCAGTCCCAGATCTGGCTGCCCAGAGCCTCCCGTCCCTGGCCCCATCAGCCCAGCCCCTCACCCTGCTCCCGGCTCAGATGCTCCGGCTGCACTTCTGTCCTTTCTAGTCCCTTTAGGTAGCTCTGCAGAAGTCTGTCAGAAAAGTGGAGAATCAGCCCAGGAGAGGTGAGTCTGCAGCCCCGGGCCTGGTCGTCTCCCTGAAAGCACCCCCAGCTCAGCCTACTCACCCGAGTTGCTCCCGGCCTGGCTGGAAGGGGTTGGGCAGGAGCTGATGCTGCACTTCAGAGTCTGGCCTGGAGGAGGAAGGGGAGGACCACCCTTGCAGAGAGCCTCCCTGAGGGCCCAGCCTGTCAACCTTCTGCCTCCAATCTCCTGGCAGAGTTCTCTCCCCAGACCCAAAGGGAGTTACCCCCAAAATTCCAAAAACCTTGTAGGGAGTAGGCTCTTCTGGTCTCCTTGGAACCAAATCCTTAACTCCCTCAGACTCTGTTTTTGCAGCTGGCTACCTTAGACTTTAAATGAAAACCCAAATAAAAACATCTGGTTAGGTAAAGGCAGATGAGGCCACACCTACTAGACATAAGTTAGAGATTCAAGAAAACAGCCCAGTGAGTGGCAGGACAACATGGGTCACGGCACCCCTTCGATGCTGGGAGCCAAGGGGCAGGTCTCTAGTGGAGCCCGATGGCACTGCTCAGTTTTATATAGACCCAGTTTGCTCCATGACATAAAATTGACCTATACTTTTTCAAGGACAGCATATACCTGTTGGTTCTGCGGTTTCAAGCTGCTCAGGATCTCTTTGTCAGTCTTTCAAGCTCCAAATGTGCTCCTAATTCTGGACTGGGTTAATTGTTTGCCCAAGTCAATCCAGACCTGTGATGCCAGAGAGCTGGCAGGAGTTGCGGCGACTTTTGTCACGGCTACCAGCCCTTGTGGCTGTTCTGTGGCTGTTTCCCTTTCTACCCAGCATACCCATTGCACAGTATTTATAAATACAACCTTCAGAAAGTATTCAGATAACATAGAAATGACATGCTAATGATCTATACTTCTTTGATGTTCCCACCATAAGGTCTTTTTTTGTTCTTTTTAAGATGGAGTCTCGCTCTGTCACCCCAGCTGAGTGCAGAGGCTTGATCTTGGCTCACTGCAACCTTCACCTCCCAGGTTCAAGTGATTCTCTTGCCTCAGCCTCCTGAGTAGCTGGGATTACAGACATGCAACACCATGCGCGGCTAATTTTTTTTTATTTCTGTAGAGATGGGGTTTCACCACGTTGGCCAGGCTGGTCTCAAACTCCTGACCTCAGGTGATCTGTCTGCCTTGGCCTCCCAAAGTGCTGGGATTACAGTTGTGAGCCACCACACCCGGCCCACCTTAAGGTCTTGATAACAAAACTGCAGGCTGGGCACGGTGGCTCACGCCTGTAATCCCAGCACTGTGGGAGGCTGAGGCAGGTGTATCACAAGGTCAGGAGTTCGAGATCAGCCTGGCCAATATAGTGAAACCCTGTCTCTACTAAAAATACAAAAATTAGCCCGGCGTGGTGGTGGGCGCCTGTAGTCCCAGCTACCTGGGAGGCTGAGGCAGAAGAATTGCTTGAACCCGGGAGGTGGAGGTCGTAGTGAGCTGAGATCATGCCACTGCACTCCAGCCTGGGCGACAGAGTGAGACTCAGTCTCAAAACAAAAAAACAACAAACAAACAAACAAACAACTGCAGTCCCCACTGCCCTGGTGCCATAGCTTCTTCCCTGTGCTGCATGATACACTGGAGCTGAGTTCCCTGATTCCAAATGGGTCCAGCAAGCATATACTGAATGCCCACTTTGTGGCACTCTGACAGGCACAAGACAGGAGGCTGGTGGCGGAGAGATACAGAGATCAGGGAACCTACACCCTAGTCTCCTGCCTCCCGGAGGGCCCACCACACCCTTGGATTCTCTAGAGACTCTCCCTCCTCCCAGCCCTGTTCTCATAACCCTGTTACCTTGTGACTCCATCCTTTGGGGCAGCCTGACCCACGGGGAGCAGCAGCAGGATTAACACTCTCATCATCAAAGGTAACATCCTTCCTGGAACTGAAACAAGGAAGAGAATCAGGGGTCGAGGAAAAGGGGCATCTGCCACCGTGTCAGAGATGGGCTGAGTTAGACACAAGCGCCTTTTCTCCCTGCTTCCACCTGCGCCCCACAAGATAGGACTCCTGCTCAGGGAAAGCTCACACACAGAAGCAGGGATCCCCCCATGGAACCATGCTCAAAATAAATGTCACTCTAGTTCTCGTATATAAAGCACATAAAGGCAGGCCTGCTGTGGTGGAAGCAGAGCTGGGGGGCGCATCCCCACCCCATGGCCCATTCCCTTGCTCCCCACCAGCTGCTGAGGTGCCCAGAAAAGTGCAGCGCAAGCATGTCTGAACCCCTTCAGCCCATTCATGTTACAGATGGAAAGGAGTGCCGAGAGTTTAAGAAAAAGGCCAGGTTAGAAATGCAGGGAGTCACAGAAAGACCAAGACTTAAACACAGGCAAAAAGATAAATGGACTGCTTGTGTTTATTAAAAACCCACTGAAGAACAAATCAAAAGAGGCACAGACTTCTTGAAATAGGTCTAAACTCAAGTACAAACTGAAAACACAATAAATCAGGGCCAGACCAATAGTGGCCCCAGGAACTGCTATTTGCTAAATGCAGTTAGGAAAATCAGACCCACTATAAAGGAAAAAACAAAAACTTCCCCTTAGACTGACATG